ATCAACTAGATGAAGGGCTTGTACTACTCCCACTTCGACATAAAACTTGAGAATCAGTAACTGTTGAGCAGCTTGAGGCAAACAGTACAGATGGACGACATCTTGGGTTTGATGCTAAATGGAAGAAAAAGAGCAAGAAGTAGGAGCTTGTGTTAAGTAACGAGACGTCTTTTCTTGTACTAAAATATCATCTGTTGTCACAGCAGCAATTATCATCATGGAAAGGTTTCCAGTTCTTTTGTGCTACCAGTTCTGTTGTATGGAAGTGAAACATAAATTGCCATGCTTAATGGGCAGAAAAACGCTGACCCAAGCAAATTTTGGGGTGACGCGAGGTAGGTTTCAGTAAATTTTTACAGTGTTTCCCAGTAGTTTACTGTGCTTTCGATCTGGTGTGAAAGATATTAAGCAATGTACACCGTAGAGGGCAGCTAAGTTGGTCATGTCGGAAAAAGAGGGATAACCGATGGACAAAGCGGATTACTGAATGGTACTCCATGTAGGGTTAAATGAATGTTGAAAAGATCCACCTGAACTGCTCTGTGGATTTTATTAGGATGAGAGATGCGGAAAACAGAGAAGAATGGAGAAGTTGCCAGCTGGAGAATGTGACAATGAAGTAACAGTAGCTGATCGAAGCATCGAAGTAATTTCATGTTCGTATTATTACTTAATGGACCGAAACATTTTTTACCTATTACAGATACTTCCATACTCCCATTTAGCTTTTCCACTTCTTTCTTTCATTATTTTTCTTCCCTTAATTTTTTCTACTTCATCATTTTCAGTTTATCCTTATTATCATTATTATTTATTATTATTATCGTTATTATTATTATTATCATCACTATTACTATTATTATTTATTATTATTATTATTGTTATTATTGTTATTGTTATTATTATTATTATTGTTATTATTATTATTGCATTCATTCGTAATAAAGTTGTCCCATTCTCCTTTTCCCTTCTCCGGAAAACATCACCCGTTTTTCACTTAATTCAAATGCAGAAGTCATCGGGAATGTGCGAAATCTAAACCTTTACATCACCGTTTTAGTTTACACACAAAACGATTCATTATTTTTAGTTTTTAATGTTTCTCCATGGCGTGTTTCTCTCGATGTTTTTCTCTTTCTGGTTTTTTCCGAATGTATGTTTTTCTGGTGTTTTCCCGCGGGCTGTTTTTCTTTTGCGGTATTTCTCCTGATGTGTTTCTCTTCTATGTTCCCCTGTTTTGTTTCTCTGAATGCACTTCTCTTCCTGTTTTCTCCGTGTATGTGTTGCTTTTCTGTTGTTTCTTTACATGTACAGAAATAAATGTTTTTTTCGGGAGTGTTATGTGTTGTTGTTGGCGCGTGCTCTGCTCGATGGAAGAATACTTCCGCATTCCGTCTGTAACTGAGAAGCGCTCATCGTGGTATTTTGTCCCTTTATTAAAGAACCTCAATTGTAATACTCTGTTAAGCTTCGTTATTCTTCAGCTATGCATCTGGCAACTTTTCCAATTGCTTTGACCAGTGCTGCATCGTCTGCTGGTGAGTTTGCTGGCGATTCTGATTTTGTCTTGTTTCCTGAAAAAATTCTATCGGAATCAATTGTGAAAAAGATTTATCAAAGTAGCTTTACCTTGTTCGCTCTCAGCTTTACCTAAGCGCCAGCTTCATAAATTGGAAAGCCCCTTACCGACAACCGGACAATTTTCACTCACATAGGCTCAGTTTTTTCTTTTTCTTTTGCTCATAAGTTCATTTTTTTTTTCTGATTCTGCTTTTGTTCGTACGCCCAGGTTTGCTTTAATTTACTTTTATTGTACTGCCTTGTTCCCTCTTTCCCTTTACTGCTGTCTTCATTTCGTGCCTCGAGTTTCCAACTTGTATCCTTGTTTCGCTTCTCTCCATCCTCACCGTAAGAGTATTCTGGAAATAGACAATGTTTCAGGCCTCTCTCAACCTCGAGTATTCATGGCAAAGAGCAGCAGTGTACTTCCTACTTTCCATCTGTCACCTCCCTCACCGTCCCCTGTCCCTCTTCCCTCCGAATGGACATGAACTAGCCAACCGACAAAGCATCTACGCTATTTAGCCCTTAAATCCACCCCTTTCATCCCCCCGCTTCCCTCCTTTCTTTCCCTCCCCTCTTGCCTCGCCCGGAACTCACAGCACATAACCCCTCTCCCATCCCTCTTGTAATTTTAATTTTAGATGATGTGTGTAACATTCAAACTGCCGCCTCTCATCTTTGGGTGGGTTTACCTGCCATCGACGAAAAAAATTTTCGCAAATCGTGCATGATGCCGGCCGAGCCGAGGTGGGCCGAGTTTTAGTAATTGCTGATTTCTCTTGTTCCTGGATGGATAGATAGATGCTGTGGCCGGGCCGCGGGCCGCATTATTATCATTTCAATCATTGCGGTCTGTCACTGTTGCATTGCATGTGTTGTGCGGTTCTCTGGTTTTTGGTCATAACCTTTGTTGGTTTTTGTTGGGGTCTTCTTTTTTCTCGTGTTCTGTGGATTTGGGAATTTTTTTTGGTCGTTTTTTCAGTGGTGTTTCTGAAATTTTTGAGGGTTTTGAATGAATTTGGGTCGTCTTTTTTCGGGAGGGGGGGGG